TTGGGGCACCCGGCGTGTGGCTGCCCCTCCCCTTCCCTGGCTCCAAGATGGTGCAAAGTAGGAAGGGTGGGGACAAACTAGGAAGAAAGAGCAGGAGAAATAGTATTTCGCTAGAAATGCTGAGTTGTAGGGGGAAAGCAGCCATAGCTAAACCAGGCTAAAATCAGCACCAAGTCTTCATCCTCTGGATTTGTTTGCATCAATATAAGAAAGACCTTTGCACTGTCAGCTAGACCAGCTGACAAGTTATCTTTCCTATAACTTATACATGATCTACAGAAGCTTTCCCCAGCCTGGTGCCCTCACGATTCCAAACAACTCTTTTAATTCCCAGACATCGCGCATGCTGGCCGGGACTGGTGACAGTCATAATTGAAAACATCTGGAGGGCACCAGATTGAGAAAGGCTGATCTATAGGATACTAAATAAGATTAGAATTAATCAAACAATCCAGTTTCCTGGCAGCATTAGGTGCTGTCTTGTATAATACTGTGTATTATTAAGCTCCACCTTGCACATCTGAAGCCATATTTCTCACTTACCCATTCCAAAATTCAATACCATATTATGTACCCATGTCACGCAGGGTTAAGACTAGTCATACCCCTTTCCAATACAACCTTTCCTCATGCAATGATTCTATCTTTACACAAGATCATATAGCACATGAGACCTGAGAACAGAAAACTTTGATCAAAAACTCTGATATTCAAAATGAAACGTATCAACAAAATAATTTATATACATTTCACTGCCCCTTCCCCAAAAGATGCAAACAAATCTGGATGGGAAACCATCCATTCTGATTGAATTTTAAAGTCTGTTCTTACCTCCTCTTCTTTCTATTAATTGTAAGGGATGCTTTCAAACCAGTGTTTTTCTTTATACTTTTCCAGGAAATAAGCACACCACTTCATAAACTTCATAAACAAGACCACCCCTGATGAAATTCTGATCCAAAATAAGTTGTTTCATTTAAAAAGCAGAACTGAGCAGCAGCTTTAACAGCTAACCTTTTTGTTGATCACTTCCCAAACTATTTTTTGTTCAAATATTCTTCTCAGATCAAAATGCAGAGTGGCTCATGCATTTACATATTATCTCATACAAACCTCTTTTATAAATAGATGTGAATCAGTGGAGATACGGTGATGACAGTCCCAAATGTGAAAGAAATTATCTTCAGAAGCCAACAGCATTGCTAAATTCTGAATATTCTCATTTCAGGGAGAGAGGTAAAGCTGTTGGACTGGGCCTTTTCAAGACAGCTTGCAGATGTGGCTAATGTGGTAATATCTTGACACAATCTAGTGTCCACAACTGTGCTACACTCCTATGTTTTATATGGACTGTTTCAAGCTTGATGTCCTCAGCCAATGTTGCAAGAGAAAAACAATGTCTTTTAGGATAAAGCATTCATTACCAGAAGAGACATTTCTGCCCAGCGGAGAGAGATGGGTGAATACTAAGAACACTAAGAACTTTGCTTCCTAGAGCAACCAGGGATCCACAGAGAGTTGTTTCCCATCATTTTGGGCAGCTTGGATAGAGAAAAGGATAGAGAATAAGAACCACTGGAATATCCAGCCCTGGTAGTTCACTGGCTTTATCACATGCTCTGACCCTCTTCCTTTGATGCAGGGCGACCAGTTGTCATAATGGCAAAGGAGGAAAAAGCACTGAACATAATGAGAAAAATGTGGGACTGGAGGACATTTTGAAAATCATATTGGACAGAAGGTTGAAATCTAGGACATTTCCTAGAAAAAGAGGATGTCTGGTCACCTTGCTTTGATGTTTTTTGTTAATTCTTGGGAGAAGCATCTGCATGAGCCTCAATGAGAAGGGAAGCAGCAGTCAGTTAATCTAAGCCATCACTCTGTGGGGGTTTCATATTTGTATTCCAGACAAATGCTCCCATACATTGGTTAATGTAGTAGTCTGGAAAACAAGTGGAACTGCTAGCTGCTAATCTAGAGATCCTGTCTTTCTTGAAGACAGTGAAGGACCATACTCCAGGGGCAACTTCAGTGGCACATTTTCCTGTCCTTATGTGTCCCTTGAGGTGGGCTCAAACTGGAAAGCTACTCATGGCAATTTGCAGTAGAGAAAGGGAAACAAAAATAAAGGCAAAGTCCCTTGGAAAAGCCGCTGGCGGCGGTTTAGTGTGAAAACCTCTTCTCTTGTACTCAGAAAGCTATTGGAAATATCAATGCACCATCTTTTGCACCATCACTGCATTTGCATTTCAACGATGTTAGTTCCTGTGTTTGCTTTCTCCCACATCATGTACAGAAAAACCATTTGCACCACCGTTTCCTCTGCCTCCCACTGGTTTCTTTTTTTAAAAGCAAACAAACAAATAAACAAAACCGGGAAGCTGTGATTGAACAGTTATGCAATTGGGAAATTACATACACTTTTACTCCCTTCCCAGGTCACGAAGATGAACACACACCAAAGCACTTCCACCACTTCCCCCCTATGCTTTCTTTGTACTAACCAACACTTGCCCCATTTGCTTTTGCATACTAATCTTTTAACCTTTGTATATTTCCTTTTCAAAAGTTTTTTGAACCCTGTGATTTCTCTGGGCACTAATCTTTAATAGGATTATATTTGAATAGTGCTGTTCAACTATCCCTTTATTTATTTATTTTTTAAAATAACATTTTAAAAAACAGGATGGAGAAAGAAGAATGAAGACACAGCAGCTCTCTTGGAAGTCTTGGGAATCCCAGTGTCATCCCATGAAACCATGCCGATATCACACCCACCATGCTCCCAATAGTGCAATGGAGAGGAATGAGACATTCATACCCAAAGCGATTACTAAATCACAGCAGGACATTAACAGATAATTTCAGGTGGGAAAATTAACAGATAATTTCAGGTGGTACCATCAAATGGTAGTATAGTATGGTACAGCACTGGGAGAGTCACAACACTGTTCAATAAGCTCCAGAAGAAGATGAGACTAAGGTCTAATATGTACCGCAAAAATTAAGCACTGCTTTCACTGCTGTGGTTCAAAGCTATAGAATTCTGAGATTTGTAGTTTTGTGAGACATTTAGCTTTCTCTAATGTAACAACAAACTACAAACCCCAGGATTCCATAAAATAGAGCCAAGAAGGTTAAAGTGGTATCAAACTGCATTACAGTCGCCCCTCCATTCTTGTGAACTTGAAGTCCGCAGTTTTACACATTCACAGAGAGGCAATCTCCATTTAAATCAATGGGTTGTGCCGTTGCATGTGCCCATGGGGGCACGCCCCATTCAAGTCTATGGAGTCTGAATATTTGAAAATCTCTGTTTTCGCATGGGGGGGGGGGAGAAACAGATTCCTGGCAAAAACGGAGGGCTGACTGTATTTCAGCAGTGCAGATTAGGCCTAACGGTGCAAAAGCATTATACAATCCTGTGGAATAAGTTTCCAAGTGCCTCCCCTAAGTGTTTTCATTGATGGCAATACATTTGTTGGTGAAACAGAGAGGGGGAAGACTTCTCTACAGCCCACCCTGCAGTATCAAATTCTGCTCAAGAGGTTTGGGAGACTCTACAGAGCAGATTTTGACAGATGGCAGAGATTCTAGGAAGGAAGAGTAGATAAGAAATCCCCAATGTGTGAGTGAATTTCTGCACACACAATACTGAATCCCATCCCTTTTGTACAAGGAAACAAAGTTATAACACATAAATATGTGGAAAAATTCATAGAATGCACTTACCTTGCACTTTCAAAGGTTGCAGATGCTGATTTCCCAACAGCACCAAATCCAACACCAACAGCCAAACCCTCTGAAACAGAGAAAGGAAGCAGCAGTTGTTAGACCTGTGGTCACATTTCATGCTGAGTGCACACACACACAAAAACGCATGTTGTTTATCCCTTTCTCAAATTAAAAAAAAAATCACTCTGCAACATTTATAGTTCACAGATGGGAAGCATGATTTCACACCAGCTGCCTTGGGTCCCATACTGGGAGCAAAGAAGGATATGAAACCAATGGATCAATCTGAATATGCATATTCAGACCCACTTACACTGCAGATTTACTTACGTAGCCCCCAACAGATCAGCTTATAGACATCTTTTGATATGTGATGGGGTTGCACATGTATATCTAGGGCCATTATTTTTTGTAGCAACCACCTGAATACCATAATGCTTTGTATGCATTGCATGCTTTGCAATTATAGTTTGCAACGTCTTTTAATAAATTGTAATGTTTTAATGTTTAATGTTTTAACTTCATAAATTGTTTAATTACTTTTTAAATGTCTTTTATTTTTATACATTTATTAAAGTTTTTGTAGTTTTTAATTTGTATTGTTTTTAAATATGTTGTTAGCTACCTTGTATCCCATTATTGAGAGAAAGGAGGAATAGAAATGAATCAAATAAATAAATAAAATTGCTGAATCAAGGTCATTGTAGTATATGACAGAGAAGGCAAATTCCAGAAGATTTTATAGGTTATGCTTTCTGTATGCTTATCTGAATGTTCAAACCATATGGACTTAAGATACTGAACTGAATAGCACAGAATCCTTTTGAAGTTGCTTGCTATCCCTTATTATTGTCCAAGACAGTCCTTCTCAGACGATCTGATGTTAAGGACTAGCTATTATTATTTTCTCCCAATGTGCTAAAGCTTGGCACTACATTTGTGCCCACTGGGTATAACTGTTTGGACTTTTTTCTTGGAAACTTGCCAGGGATGTCCCACCAATGGTTTATGATCCAGGACCAGTCCAGGGACCACCACTTTGGGTAGCACCACTATAAGGGATCCCTCTTGTATCAATCATCATTCCAATGAATTTAGTATGTGGTACTGTAGCTGCACTTAAGGGGCCAGTATGGTGTAGTGGTTTGAGCATTAGACTATGATCTGGAGACCAGGGTTTGAATCCCAGTTTGGCCATGTAAACCCACTGGATGACCATGGTCAAGTCATACTCTTTTAGCCTATGTAAACCCACTGGATGACCATGGCAATCCCCCTCTGAACAAATCCTCCAAGAAAACCCTGTAATAGGTTTGCCTTAGAGTCGCCACAATTTGGAAATAACTTGAAGGCAACAACAGTAATAACTGCACAGCCATGCTTAAAAATGCAAATATATCAAATACTTATAAAGGTTTTACAATTTTGGCCTAGAGCCACTTCAGGCAGAACATATTTATTTCTTGAATGGTTTTTCTTAACGTTTTAAGTACTGTACCACCACCACCTGAGTCTATAATTCAGAAAAGGGTAAATGCTCTTAAAACAGTTGCTATAAAGTAAGGGTTACAATTTGTTGCAACAATATTTGCTCTACCAATTTCAATGAGATACATATGCAATTCAAACAAAAGCCTTAATCCATAAGGAAAAAAAAGCTAAGGAGTCAATTTGTTAGTTTTTAAAGGCTCCCTGTTGTTTTTGCTGGAACAGGCTAACAAGATTACCGTTCTTTAATTGAACCACACAGCAGACTTGACCTTCTGAGAGTGCTATATTTGTTGCTATATTGGTTGTAATGATCCAGCCTTATTCAGTTGCCACACAAACAAATAAGCACAAACAATTAGGCACAAGGCATTGCTCTTTCAGTGTAGGATCACAGTTGGTGACCACAGCCAACATCATAATCCAACCCAAAAAGGATCAGTCTTAACAACTGTACTAATCTGACAGAGAAAGGAGGACACTGGCCTTTTTACTGGACCAACTATCTCATTTGGGTGAATGATGTACTGGACCCAGGACTCTTTGATTAACAGGGATTGTGACATAATTTGTTGGCCCCATCTGCATTCACTGTCCTCCCTGCTCACCCTCCCCTGATCTCCTCTGTTCCCAATAAAAGTAGCTGAAATCTGTATAGTAACTGAAAGTAAAATGGGCATTTCTCAGTGGCAAAACATTTAAATGTAAAGAATTTAGGGATGACTTGGTTTGAATGCACAATGAAAGATAGTGTAAGAAACCTTTGCTTTACAAAATAATTGTTCCTGTTGGAGAGGAAAACCACTGGAAGTGGTTGGGCAGTAGATTCACACAAGCATTCATGCTTTTGGACTCTGGGACTGTCTCACTGTCTATCTCTGCTTCAACACTTACTATTTCACTACTGATCTGGGCACAGATGTTTAAAGCATCAAAGTAATGTAAACACAAAACAAAACACATGATCCAGCACAGAGGAAGCACAGTGGGGTGGTGGGAGAGACAAGCACCCCCCTCATCACCATTTTTGGCCAGTATTAGCAGACCACAAATGACACTCTCTCTTATACTGGTGTAAAACAGGTAGGAGACCTGTGGTCATCTAAAGGTTTTTTAATAACAGTTCTTATTATCTCTAATCATGGCCCATCCAGTAGGTTCCCAACCCCTCAGCAAAAGCCATCATATGTATGGAAGTAAACCTGATTATTCCACACTTGGAATTTCAAGAGAAAAAAACATGAGGAATGACAAGTTTCTTAATGCAAGTCCTACATGGGATATACACTTTCATATACTGAACATGTATGTAAATCTTACCTGAAGCTCCCTTTGGTTTTGGTTCAGTATAACCAAATGAAACAAGTTTTAATTTGCAAACCTCAGAAACATGGAAATAGTTACAAAATGGCAAATTGGAATGGGTGTGTTGTGGTTTTTTACAAAAGGAGGAGTAGGAGTGCTGTCCCCAGTCACAAAATGTTGACAACTACAAAAGTAACCTACTGTAAGGTCTCAGCCTACCACTGTACCTGAAACCTCTCAACATAATAAAGTCAAATTGATCCTATGCACATTTACTTTGAATTCAGTGGTCCTTAATTCTAAGAAAGTTTGCTTAAAACTGTAATCTAAGCATGTATCTGCATGGCACTTCAATTATAATGGTTTAATACCATTTTAAATGTCTTGGCTCCATTCTAAGGAATCCTGGGATTTGTAGTGAGACACTTTGGTGTTGTAGCCAGGAATGGGTGGAATAGAGATAATTCTAAACATTTTCCAAACTACAGATCCCATGGTTTTATAGGATTAAAATTGTATCAAACTGCTATTAACTGTGTAGTGTAGATGAGCTCTAAAGAACGCAACTACTCCAAATTACATGAATTTCTTGATCCAGATCACAGGAGATTCTGATTTACAACAGATGTTTTTAGTGTTGTGCTATATAAATTTTAATGGTCTGTATTTTTAACAACTTATATTTTATAGCTGTTTTAACTCTTAAAATTGTTTAATTGGTTTTTAAATTCTATATTTATAGATTTTAATATTGTTGTACTGTTTTTAAATTGTATTGTTTTATACTTGTTGTTTGCTGCCTTGAGTCCCTATACTGGGAGAAAGGTGGGATATAAGGAAATAAAATAAAATAAAATAAAATAAAATAAAATAAAATAAATAAATAAAAAGAAGAACATTTTTACATAATTTCCACTCAAACTGGTTTTCACTTGTTATGTTCATAATGTTGGGATTTCAGTGGGAGAAAGGAAGTAAGTTATAATGTGTACAAACAGTTCTTGCAGATCAATCAGGCTTACAGCATATTTTCTCAGAAGTCAGTCCTACCCACTCTGTCCAATGAGGCTTATTCCCAGGAAACCAGGCATATGACTGAAGCCTAAAATATTCTGCAAGTGAATCCACAGAGCCCAAACTGGGATAAACATTACATGGTATTTAGCACTGAAATACTTTCAAACACATGTGTTCTGGAGAGCTTCAGTGGCCACTCCCTACATGTACCAAATGCTGATCACAGTCGTATGGTGAACTATGCTGGTTATTCTCTTACTGGTGGCATTTAGAGAACTAGCAAGCTATTCCCTAGCTGTGGTATTTATTTCCTGACAAATGCAAATGGCACATCTGGAAAGTGGCCAGCCTGTCTCTTCAGGGTAGAGAAATGGAGGGGTGCAACATCCTAGCTGTTCTCTTCCTGCAGCAATGAATCAGCTGAGAAAAATCCAAGACACGGCTTTCCATAGACACAGGTTCCCTTTTATATTTTGCTTATGGCCACTTTGCCAACAATGCTTTGTTCTGAGAAAGGATCTTTTAGTCATCTGGGATGAAGCAAGCAGCGGAGAAGAGAAATTAAAGTAGGAGGCAGCAACCAGCCAGGGAGGTGGCACATGTTCTCCAACTTTAGGCAGTGTACCATCCAAATAATATAATGACCAATGGAAAACAAAATAAGGAAATCTTGTTAGTATCAGCAATTTGTTGCTCCCTTGTTAGTATCAGCACCTTGCCACTTCCATACAGCAAAGTTTGAAGAGAAGCACACAACCTTGTCTCCAAACCCCTTTTCTACTTGCTGAGTTGCAGGATCTATCTGCCTCCCTCTTTGCCAAAGGCAAAGTTTAAGAGACGCGGTGTTCATTATTAGTTTAGCAAGTGATGAATTTTTGCTTTGCACAATAAAATCATTATTTGCATATGGCCAGAGTAAAAAAGAATTTGGATAACAGTGGAAGGAGAGATTCCAGAGGGAATCCTCACTGCAAATCTCTAACCCTCTCCCAGCCAAAGGTTGTAAATCCCAGTGGACTTTTCTTCTAAAAACTGGACTGATCCCCAACTCCAGAGCTTTCCCTACTTGTTCTTTGCAGAACTTTTCTAACTGCCATTTGTTGTTATTCTCTACCTCCAGGATCCTGGCATGGAGAGTCTGAGAGCCCAGGGAACATGCCAGGGCTGCAGCTACAACTCCAATACCCCCAGAAGGAGAGCCTATAGCCAGCACAGGAACAGAGTTCCTAGGAGCCACAGGAGCAGAGTTACCTGCCGTCACAAGCCTCAGATGAAGAAACAGACTCACCGATACCCAGCCCTGTGGAGAGATGACAGGAAAGAGAAAGAAGCCAGCACTCTCATAGGGAACACCTGTGAGACCCAGCCCCAAACTTCCTTCAGTCCAGGATGACTGACAACCATCCTTTTCCTTGGGAGAAAGCCACACTAGTGCCTTGTTCTTTGATTGCCTATTGCTTTGAACTCTGCCTGGCCTCTGACTATTCTTTTGGATTATCCTTTGGACTGTTTTCCTGGACTGAATACTGTCTTGTGCATGACCTGGACTGGACTAAACCACCTCTGCTTTTCTATTGACACCTTGGTGAACTTGGACTCTCTCCTCCTCTTTCTGCTTAAAACCTTTGAAAGACATTAAGGTTTCATGCTGGAAGTCTGGCTAGATGCACAAGGGCAAAACAGGATATTTGTTACAGGTGCTGCTGCAGAAAAATGGGCAAAGAGACCTCAAACCTAGCTCACTGCCCATGTCTGAGCCAAGCAACAGCTGTGCAGTCACTTAACAGAGCTCCTCCATTTTAGCTGGCCTGCAGTACTCCAGATGTTCTGTTCAACCCCCAGTGTGACAAATACTGGCCTAGTACTGATTCACCACAGAGCCTACACATGAGCAGCTAATAGTGACTCCCCAAACTACTCCCTTCAGGGACCATTTGTGAGCTGGGTGGCAGCTGGGTGGTGCCTCTTACCAGATTCTCCCTGTTCTTGCCATCCTTCCTCACTCCTTTCAGACTTATCCTTTCATAACCTGCCTGTAATAGCGCTGGCAACCACTTTACCACCAGCCACATGTCTGCCAGTCTATCTCACTACTGCCACCTATTCTCTTTGTGTCTCCTCTTTCTCATTGCATACAGATGGTGTCCCTCCTGAAAGGAATAGGCAGAAAGGAGCAAAAGCAAACTGCTGAGCAGAAGATACCTGAGCAGGATGAACTGTGTACAGTGACCCCACAGAGGCAGATGTGAGTCCACTACATGGGGAATTTTTGTGAGATGCAGAGTAGGTTTCCAGCAGTACACCTGAGCCAGAGGGCACCATGTTGGGCACCCCACCCCAAAGTGTTAGGCCAAGTTAAAACATATAAGATGAATATTTGCAGTGTG